CACAATAAAAAAATAAAATGATAATTGTTAGAATTCAAAATACACAATTTTAATTGAAAAATATAAATGTTAAATAAATATTATATTATGAGATTGGAGAAAATAATTTAGCTGCAGCACAACTTTTTAAATTAAAACCAGCAGAGGGCAGTGTTAGCCTGAAAAACCCCTCATATGATTACAGCGGATATACACCTGCAATCTGTCAATAAAAACAAACTAACTGGAACCAATTTACTAGTGTACAACGTTAAATAAGTTGTCGGCATGGGAAAAATACAATTAGAAATATTGAGTAGATGTCTAAATCCTAATAATAATACTAATGCTACTACAAAGTTCTGCACTGCTATCTTTGCTACATGTATTAATGTGTATAGGATTTGGTCTGTCGAGGGTTCAAAAAGCGTAATACAAATACATTATTAGCATGAAGGAGGATTTTGTTTCGCTCACCTCTCATTAAGTTTGGCCAAATGCAGTTGCAACAGTTTGAAAAGGCATTCTTTGACAGGAAATGCCTGAGATATAATGACAGCTCTCCCAGTTTCTGCTGTTATTAAAGTTCTTTGTATGTAAAACGGAAATCAATAGCAGTGTATTATTATTATTGTATAACCATGGCCTGAATTTTTTCCCATGTTTCTTTTAACAATCAAAGTATCTATCAATCCACTAACATGTCTGGTCTAAACTAATTACATTATTTAGGTACGTACGTAAGTAAGTAATATTTATTTTTATAGCGCATTTTTCGAACCAAAGTCACTCCAAAGAACACACCTGCGCATCAAAGTCCCAAAACAGACCTATTGTACATGTTTTTAGCGGTAGGGGAAACCGGAGCACCTGGAGGACCTACGCAGACATAAGGAGAACATGCAAACTCAACACAGAAAGGCCTGGAGGTGGAATTGAACCCAGGACCTTCTTGCTGTGAGATACAAGCTCTAACCGCTGAGCCACTGTGTAATTATAATTAGACGGGTATAATATTGTGTCACAACTTCTTGGAGTGCAGATTACGTTACATCTTTTACCCCATAATTCTCTTAAATCTGTGCTTGTTTTATAAGGTTAAACTGGGATTACTGGGACCCTGGGATAAAAGTGAATAAAAAGATGATCAGATGGGTCATGTTTGAAACTGGAGTCGGTATAATTCCCCTGACTGATGACGGTAACAGCAGGTCCCAGATTAAGAGGATTGAAATATTAAAGCATGAAGTATTTACCGCATTGTATTTGTCCAACGCATGCAGTAACTATGGTAACCAAGTGCTAAAAGTACAATGGTTGAACTTACAGGTAAAACTGGGAAAATTATAAATCTGTAATTTCCGTTATTCAGCTTAAAATGTGGATAAATAATATGGTATAGACTTTTTACATTAAAAGTGATGCCTTAATTGTGTATTATCATTTTGATGATTATAGCATAATGTCCATTCAAGAAATATTCAAATTTTCTGAAACGTGTTTTTTTTTTTTTTTTACAAGCTGTGAGCCATATAAGGCTTTTTTTTCATTCTGATTCTAATGAGTCCTTAATATATTAGCTTCACATTGTAAGTTAAATTACAGAAGAAAATTGACTTTTTGACGATATCTTAATTTTACAAGTTTTGCCGCTATCAATTCTTGTAAAGATATCAATAGATTTATTTCTCTCTTTTAATCATATTACAACATTGTCCCTCACCAGTAACGGACCTGGAGCTGCTTTAAGATCCATCCATGCTAATATCACATCCTTTTGGCACAAACATGTAACTCCGCCCCTTCTGTCTAAAAGCTCCAGTCTCAGTCCTGTAATAGTATGATGTCATTGCACCACTATGACATCACACTTAGAGCCGTTTTCTGCCTTTTAAAATAAAAGTATTGCCCATTGATTGGTTTTGGGATTTTTAAGGTAAAATTGCATTCTCTTGAACCACATGTCTTTGGAAAATAAACAAAAACACAAATTCAACTCCTCCCTCTAGTGGTGGCATGGGGACAGGGCAGGCAGATGACATTATTTACTTGTTTCACCATTTATGTTCTACTTAAGATATCATTTCACATTCTAAAATATAAAATAATAAATTAAAAATCATAACTGTCATTTCATTGGCCAAAATAATACATAATAGTTCATCTTTAAGTGACTTTCTTGTGTGGTAAAATGATAAATCTTGTGTTTTTCAACCCATTTTACTCAGTAGGCTAACATTAGACCAAACACCAATCCAATGTGGTCTGTATTTTTCATTTACACTGACTTTAAACAGATATGAATGAATAAATCAACCTCATTTTTATTGCTTATTGTAAGAGGAAAAACTGTTGTATCTGATGTTTAACTTTTTTCAGTGTAAAATATGTACACTGAAAATAGTGTAAAGAATCCACTCTTTCTCCAAATGTTAGCACCTCCTCTCCAGGAAAAAAGATTCACCATATTTTAGCCAACAAGCACCACTTTGAGAACCACTGATCTATAATAATGTAATGCGGATGTGAAATTAATACATGTCGAGATTAAAAAAGATCATAATCTGACTGTTAAATGTAGACTAAGGTCCAGATGTGTGTGCAGTAGAGCATATACTTTCTATCTTGGTCAAGGATAAATTGAGATAAATTGAGATTTGTTAAAACAGCAGTAGTTTGTGCTGAGGAGACCACCAGCTGAGCATAAGGATTATATTCTTATACATAGTTCCCACATGACGTCACTATATACGGGGATTTGCAGACCCGGCGCCATTTGTCTTGGCATTCTGTGGGCAAAACAATAGAAAAAGAAGCTGAAACGTGTTAATGTCGTGATAAAGTTGAAAATGGTCATCTCCTGCTGGGTCAATGGATGTTCAAATCGTGCCGGAGGTTCTGTTAAACTTGGATTTTACAGTATACCCATCATTAGACTTCATGAATGTGAGAAGACTAAGCTTTTGTCAGAACAACCACGGAGGTTATGGCTTGCAAGATAAAAGCAAAACTCCCTCAAAACACGCAAGAATATGCTCGGAGCACTTTGTGTCAGGTGCGTATCGTATCTTATAATGTGTTGACAGACGTAATTTACTCAGTACTAACTTGTGTATGCTGATATCTGGTAACTTGAGAGTTTCATTATTTAGCGTTAGATTACTTTATTATGAGGAGGATCGGTGTCGCGTCCGAGGCTCTCGAGGGCAACGTAAATGTATTAAATAGATAATAATAGTTCTATGGTGGGCTAAAACAATGTTCACAAACAGCATTGCTTCTGTAAAAAGATCTGTGTCATAAAATAAACTGCTCTTTACGCCTGGAAAAATCAGTTGCCCACCATTCACCAAAACATACGGTCAAAAACGCGGAAATAAACAATAACAGCAATCCAAAGGTGTCCGTGTGGCATTAGCATTAATTAAATTAATTGTTAATATAATTAAAATAATTAAATGGAGCTCCAACTGGTATTAAATCTAAAGTTTTTGAGAAATGTTTGCATTGCTTGTTAATTTTTGCTGCATAATTTGATCAAATATGTAAAACATGTCCGTAGCACGTTAAACTGTGGTGCCATTGTATTAATATACAATTATTTGCTCAAAAGTTGCCCTTTTTTTCCAATTTGCGTTTGAATATCTACATTTATTCTCATTCTTCTGTTTAATGGAATGCACAAACACAGCAGCGCGCCATCAAAGATGGCGTCTCCGAGGAGGTCATGTGACATTCATTGGTCTGTGGGAACTATGTATACGCTAATCTGCTATTGAGGTCAAAAACACGACCTGCAGATATACAGGGCACTAATGTGACTAATGTGCTGACACCAGCCATTATACAGTATTATCAGCCATTGACGGTGTGACTGGAACCAGCAGCTCAACAGCAGGAGTCAATAGCTGAACTAGTTACACATATAGGTTATTCATATTACAGTTTTCATTGCTCAATATTCTACTTTCATATACATGTTCTCCTTATTTCTGCGTAGGTCCTCCAGGTGCTCCGGTTTCTCCTCCCACAATTTCATATACAAGCTTGAACCAGCATGAAAGTGATAAAAAAAACAAGTAAAAAATGTCACAAATTTGGCTGAATGTAATGTGTGTAATTTGCCTGTCTTAAAACAAGATTTGCCGACGGGACAAGCAAAATTATCTTGGTTTAAAAAGAACTGGAATGAGAAAATAAAGGAATAACAAAACATTGCTTATCCCATTAGCAAATCTTGTTTTAAGACAGTCAGAATGTACTCAAATTACGATAAGGTTGTTGCACAATTAAAAAGTACAATTCAGTAAAATGTGATAATAACAAAAAATCTATCTCCGTAGTTTCAGAGATGGAATAGAAATTATAACATAGGTCTTGTCGTTATTATTCGCCACACAGATTGCATTACTTTTTACTTTCGGAGCAGCGAGGTGGGTGGGCACTTAGCGGCTCTAGTGGTCTGTGGGGGATAATCATAGCACTCGGAATTATTTCAGATGTGACATAAAGTTGCCAAACAATACAGGTGAAAATGTCATCTCTTTCAAAAGTCTATTTACTTCTGTGATTAAACTTACAATGGGAAACTCATTTATGACAGACTTGGTAAAAGCACAGTGGGATATATCAAGCCTTCATTTGTTATAATGTTGGCTTGGTTTAATGCTTTAATTGGAATTACATAAATAAATGAACTTTTGAACATTATTAAAATGTTGAGTTTCACCTGTATGTTAGTTGTAGCTCATTTAATTGCCTTAATAATGTCTCCATAGACTAGTATTGGCTTAAATATGATTAAAACAAGTCATAGTTATGGGCCATTGAGATGCATTATTGAGATGACCACAACATGGGGGACTTCAGAGTGAAAAACAGAGCAAATAAGTGAGAACAAAGGGAAGGAAAACACTGCTCTATGCTTCCTCCACTGCAGCCTGTGACAGAAGGACCAGTGATGGGAAATCTCCATAATGTGTTCCACATCGACAAACTGTGTGTGTGTTTGGGGACTGTACCTTGGCTGCACTGATCTGCTCCTTCCTGAACCGCTCCAAAGGCATGATCAACACGTCGTTTGCGTTTTCAATCTGCAAAGAAACAAAATGTAAACTTTTTAATATACAATGTGTGTTTGGATGTTTCATGTGAGACTATGCAAATGCTCCAATCACGTTCTATTCATCATTCAATCACAAGTAAGAGTGAAACAAGAAAAGAAGTTCTTCTCTAAAAAACGTCGAAATGTGACTTGTGGAATCAACAGTGTCTTGTACAAGTGAAGTAAGGAAGAGTTTTTATACTGTTGTTAACCTGTAATGTCACAGTGCCATAGACATTATTTTGAGCTCATTTATAGCTAGATAGATAGATACATTATTGATCCCCACGTAGGAGAAATTTAGGTGTCCAGCAGCAGAAGACTCATTTTTGTTGTACAGTCAGTCAGGTTTGTTGTACAGTCTGACAGCCGAAGGAACAAAGGATCTCTTGAAACGTTCTGTTCAGCAGCGTAGTGATAGGAGCCTGTTGCTTCGATTACTCCTCTGAGCACCCATAGTGTCATGCAGAGGGTGTCTGGAGTTACCCAGGATGCCCTGCATTAGAGCCCTCATCCTTCTCTCCAGCACAGCTCCCACAGAGTCCACACTTCTCCCCATCAGAGACACATTTCCTGATCAGTCTGTCGAGCCGGTTACTGTCTCTCGAAGTCAGACTGCCGCCCCAACAGGCAACCCCGAAGAACACAGCACGAGCTACCACAGACTGGTAAAAAATGTGCAACATTTGGCTGCTCACGTCAAAGGACCTCAGTCTACTCAGAAAGAACACACTTTCCTTTGACCCCCACTCCATGGATTTACAAAATGTATTGTAACATTGCAAGCATTGGTGGTTAGAGGTTTTGCGCTGCCATGGCATCCATCCATCCATTTTCTTCCCCTTAATCCATTTCTGAGTCAGGGGGGTGGCAGTCAGAGCTGCACCCAGTACACAGAGCCCCAGCCCCTCACTGATATTCCTGCAGGTGGTGAGTCCACAGGAGCTTGATCATTCAGCGGGGGCTTCAGACGATCATAACCAAATCCATGTTAATTTATTCAATTACTTTGTGTTGAGGGACACTTGAACAACATTAACATTCTCTCACCATCCTCGTCCTCTCATCCTCCAGGTTTTGAAGCACTGCTGCAAACTCCTGAAGAGAATTGGCTGCAGGAGAGAGAGAGAGAAAAGAAACACCCTTAGACATTCAAATGGCCAAATATAACCGGTATAAAAGAATTGGGGGATTAATAAGAAATCATTTAATGGAGGAGAACATTTCTCTTTAGAGAAACCTGTTTGCATGTTTATGTCAATGTTGGGGGCATAATTTAATGTATGCTATTGTCATGATATTTACTAAATCTAATGATTATTAATAATAATTAAATAATTCATATATTTGTGTTTCAATATTTTTAACAAGGATGCTTTCTTCTCATTTTAAAGGGAAGTAACGATGTTGCTGTATGAGTCATTGCTCAGACTGCTTTAGCGTTAACTTTTTATGTTTTGTATACCTCACTTGAAAAAAAAAACACACATCCTGATAAATATTCTACTTTTGAGTTCCTGTGTTAGCGGTAGCAGCTTCACTATTACCCTGATATTTTGAGTAACCATAAACGGTCATTCAAACGGTGTTAGTGTGACATGCTACAGAGATGAACTAAAGCAGAAGCTCTGTAAGTGGCGTGGAGAGTGTGCGGTGTCTATGAATAGTCTAAAACAGCCATTCCCAAACTCAGTAACACCGAGGCCCCCTTAAAAATCTGACGGGTCTGCGTGGCCCCCCAAAATAATAACCAAGAAGACAACATTAAGAATAGGCTCTTCTGGTTATTTTATTTTAGGGAAATAGCCTCTGCTACAAACATTGTAATACAAAAATGATTACAGTGGATTATTCAAGTCAAATAATGAACACAAATATTTTAATATTACAAACAAAACATTATAAATTTAACATTAAATGATGATATTTTTTTTTTTTATGACCTCCCGCGGCCCCCCTGCAGTACCCTCGCGGCCCCCCAGGGGGCCGCGGACCCCACTTTGGGAGACACTGGTCTAAAACAACAGAGGTGATGGAGTCCAGCAGAGACAAGCTGTTCAGGACAGATATGCACGATAGTGGAACATGGGCTGGGCGGGTCAGACTGAGGCGGGTCAGACTGAGGCCCGTTTACAATAAAGCAGAAGAAAGTGCTGCTGGACATGACGCTTTTAACTGAACTAGTCAAGAAATACTGTATATTCAACTTTATGTTCATGCGGGTCCAAATTTTTATGATATGATTGATTGATCATTTTATTTTGGTCATCGCATCAACAAATGTATAGTTCAAACAATACAATAAAATGAACCAAAAAAGGAATAGTCAGAAGGAGTGATTATTTGAGCTACTTCTGACTAGTAGCTTATCGGTTTAATCAGCTTCATATGTAGTGTCCCATAAGAACACATACAAATACAAAGTTTTATACAGTTTTCAAATCTGTTGTTAGGTTAGTTTGGAAGTCCATCTTTGATAATCAGTATGATAATAATAATACAAATTAAACTTAAAGAGCATGTGCACACACACGTTCCCTTTTGTGTCCTGTCAAACGTCCTTTTCTACCTGCACCTTATGTTTCTTTGTGCCTTTTTGTATGTCATTATGGTTTCATATGTTTGTGTCTTTTTTCTGTATTGCTGAATAAAATGTAATAATAAAAAAAAAAAATACAAATTAAATGCATGATGCAATTAACCCTTTGATGTTCAACCCACAAAGAATTTCTAAGATGTAGTAGCACTAATAAACACAATTTTTTTTTTATTCTTAGCTTTACCAAATGGCAGAGATGCAGTTTGATGTTAAAAGTGCCTAAAACCAAGCAATGCTCCAAAAAGGTAGATTTCCAAACTTAAAGCAGATGGTTGAGGAAAACATTAAAGGGTTAAAAGCAAGACTTCAGTAACAATCAATAATACAAATATAGCACGTGCGGTACCAAGAATAGAAGACGTCTTGGCCAGAAATATCTCTGTCTTTTCCTGCTGATCAGTTTGTTCTATTTCGGACGAGTAAATCAGAGCCACGCTGCTGTTTCCGAACAGTGTAACGTTACCTATGCACATCTCGTCGTCTGTCTCCGCGTCGCCGATGCACTGAAACTTAAACTCGTTCAGGGAGTCGGCAAATTTCCTCTTGGCCGTGGACAAACCTGAAAGACAGCAAAGCGAGGACAATACCGTTAGTTTTAAAGGATCACTTTGAGCAAAATCTGCGAAACACGTAATTTGTTCTACATATTTTGTAAGTGTTGGCCTTTCTTAATGTTATCAAAGTGGTATAATGTGCAGATGTTTTGCTAAATGTTCCCGCTGGTGTCACATATATAATAGGTTCATAGCATTTTATTACTGGAGAGCAATTAAAAAAACAAATGTATTAATGCAATGTAGTCTCATAATACTGAAATTTGAAAAAAAAAAAGATCTAGACCATTCTAATATAACCATGTAGAAAATTATGACACATGCCCTATTTTTGTAGTCTGCCCATTAGACTACTCTTGAGACAATGTCTGTCCTGGGTGAGTGGTCATGTGCAAAAAGAACCAAAGAAAATTGAGAAAATGCTCAACTTTAGCCACGTTAACTTATTGAAGCGGTAAAAGTGAAAGGGACGATTCCTTCAATAAAATATGACGTGCTAAGAGCTGTGTTCCCTCAGTGTTTCCTGCTGTCGGCCAAAACCAGTCTGAATTACCCCTTTAATGTCCACTTCTTGAGGAACACAATGTCATTTTTGGTTTATTATCTAAGATGTCGGAGCACTAATAACAACAATAATCAGTTTTTATGTTTTTCTTTGTTTTGTTATAGTCCTCTACCGAATGGTTGAGATGCAGTTTAATGGTAAAAGTACCTCAAACCAACTGATAGAAATGCACCAATGAGGTAGATTTCAGTTCCAAGCTTCATGTAGATATAGTGACTCAAAAAGCGATCCACCAAATGTTTGAGGAAACCTTTAAAGGGTTAAGGGGCACAATAAGACTCCTACGCTTGTATATGTTACTATTTGTTATGGTTCTCACGTTGTCTGCAACTACCAAGAAGTTTTTTATTGGACAACACTATTCATCTTGAGAGTTAGCACAGTCCTGCCTATTCTATATAGAGCCGGTGTTTCAATCAAAGAGCTACTTTTATCCAACAGAAGAAGCAGACAGCTACTCCTTTTTGCAGTCGTAATAAATATCTATGTGATAATTGGAGTCAGAACATGCAAAATATGCCATCACAATATATACATACTTTTAAAATGATGTGTTGAATTCTATATCCTTTGGGGAGCTACCTGAAAGGGGCTGCCGCACTACCGGTAGCTCCCGGGCAACAGGTTGGAGATCCCTAATGTATAGCATGTATTGACTGTATGTTGCAAAATTAAGATTTCCAAAAAGAAAAAAGAAAAAATTTAAACATGTATTTGTCCAGTAGAAAACAGCCTGAATATCTCCACTGCTGTCATGTGAAGTCGTGCTGTAGCTAGAGTGGTCCTGTAGCCAAACATCTGTAGGAAAATGAGTTGAACAGAGTCAGAGAGAGGACATGACTGAGAGCGCAGCAGACAGACGGAGATAACTGGACACGTTTCTGTAAATACTCCATGAATCTGTGCTGTGATTTCACTTGTGGGAGAGTCGAGATGTGGAAAGATCCGTAAGAAGCTGCCAGTCACACAATCGCACTTTCGCCTCAGAGAAACTGGAGAAGGGGAACATAACACAGAATAATGTATGATCAGAGTGGACCACAGACCAGCAGTATCCAGTTTAATATATAGTCTTGTCGTCACACATCGAAAGACTCAAACGTTGTCACCAAGAGACAGATCAAATCATAGTCATAACAGGAGTCCTAGTACAGTCCTGCCGAAGGCCATATTGCCAATCATAAATATAACCACCCTCCTATGAATCACCAAATCAATGTGATCACACCATGTTGATCACTCATAAAGTGGAAAAAAGAACAAAAAAATCTAACACAAACCCTTAAAAAATCAAAGAAAATGTATGCATTAAACTCATAATCATCAAATCAATATCAGTGGATTTTATCCTCTATCCTGGGAAAAAATAAACAAACAAAAATAAAGTAAATAAACAAACAAAAAACAAATCAAAAACAAAAACAAACAAAAATAAAAACAAACAAAAACTATTGGACACACAAGAACTCAGCAGATTCAGTCAAAACACAGACAAAAACGAGCTGAGTCTCAATTTTGAAGCTAATTTCACTTTTATTGCTCTATACTTTTATTCTAATGACAATTGTTTATACTTCACTTATTTCACTGTATTATTTTCACTTTTCAATCTTAGACTGTGTACTTTACTTTCACTATTCACTATAGTTTAAAACTATTCTAATCTATTCACAAATATGTTTGCATATTTGCTTCTATTGAGCCATATTCTTGAACATACATTTTAATCTAACAAATCTCTCTGTGGTTTATACTCTCATTATCAGTGGCATATTATCAGTGGGATTTTGCTCCATGTCTATTCTCATTCTCAGGAATAAAACTGTGAACACAGTTAGACAAATGGTCAACATTTACACTTCTATAGTGGTCAGTGATTTATTACTTTTCATTATCTAAAGATATTATTGTCAGGCAGTTTGGGATGAATGTACATCATTAATCAAATTAGTATTATCATTACAAGAGCTAATCTATTTTAGCAGGTTTGGGGTTGGGGTCAGTTATTCTACAATGGTGTTTGTGCTGGAAACTTCTCAAAGATATCCAAATATCTCTATTTTTGAAAGCATCTATGGTTGATGCATTTATCTAATTCTATTTCTACACTATTGTGACTCTGAAGTTTGGCTGCAGTTTGAGCAAAGGCATATTTCTAGCTTGTGACTTCTGTCACTTTCAATGGCTGTAACATTATTCTGATTCTAATATTATAGCTGATCTATCAAAAGGATAACATTGTAGGGTACTATTTTAACTCTTACGTGGAAATGTGTTTATGAACAACAAAGAAAGGACAATTCTACTTTTTACTACTATTTAACATCTACTAAAACGCTACAATACTCATACTTTATCATTTTCAAAGTTTTTGTCTGTCAGATGTCTGAATACTTAACATGTATATTGCATTTGTCACAGTTTCTGGTTGTAGCAATAGCATCGGCAATAGACGTTTTCATTGGCTGGTTCTTGTTCCGCAAATGGCTGTGTCCAATAGATCATCAGATGTCCAGAAGCTAGGGACAAACAAAAACAAAAGAAAGAATCATGAGTATCTCTCTCATTTAGCACTCATCAATGTATGATTTCAAAAATATAAACATCACTCCCCAGTTTTCTCTCTCAGGTCCTCAGGTCCTCAGGGTCCCCTGAGGGTGAGTCTCAGTCGTCATCAGGTCAGGTCATATTTCCAGAGATGTCATCTTGGTCATCAGTAGGGTCCAAGCCATGGTTTGGTCTCTCCAGATGCACATCAGGATCTCCAGATACAGTCTTTTCAGTTGAAGCACATCAGGTCATTTGCGATGCACTTCTGGTCAATGGTGCAGTGTCTCAGTTCCTGTACACAGCTTGTTATGCAATAGTTACTCTCTATGGTTAAGTCATTTTGATTCTACTTTAACACAATTTCTATTCATGCTGTTGCTTCTGTCCCTCAGACAAAAAGCAAGCGCAGTTTACTTCTCTAATTTGTGTTTTTATCAGATCTAATTCTCATCAATGTAATTACTTCACACAGTACAAAATCAACAAATCAAAAGTGTCAGGACAGAGGTCAATTATGTCCATGACAATATAGAATTCAAATGAACATTTCTGGTCTCAAAAAATACTGATTCAACTAAAGATTCAAGTGATAGACAATTAAAAATATGTTTACATTGGAGTAAACTTTTAAAATGCTTTTTTCTCATGTTCTGCTTTTTCATGTATCTATATGTAAATGTGAATGTGTGAGTGTATGAGTGTGTATGTGTGTGTGTGTGTGTATGTGAATTTTGGGGTTGTTTCTCAAGACTCCTCGAACCACCTGTAGGTCTCAAAGGTCACACTGTGGTGATGTAAACCACGTAGACACACTTTCAACTCCCTCTAGGTCTCTACCTGACGCTCCACCCATCACGTCTCCAGATACCTCTCTTTCATGGCCCCGGTCTCACTCACACCCACTCAGTTCTGCAGTGGCGTGGGGAGGGGCAAGGAGGTGGCATTTTCCTTTGCTCTTTGATCTGTGACCTGTGGCTGGGTGGGCTTTGCGCTGTCCAGTGTCCAGCAGTCCAGTGACCCTGTACAGTGTGTGCTCTTGGTTCTGGAAAACAACCTTATAGTCAAATTAAAAACAACAGAGATTGTGAATGAGATTGTTTTTCTCTCTGAAGTCTAAACAATTTTGAAGCGCTCTGGGTTTTCCCAAGCGCTATGTAAATAAAAGATTACTTATTATCTTACTAATGATGACATTTGAAGACCAGAAACTAAAGAAGTTATCAAAACAACAATTATACTCAAAACAAACAACCTTTTAAACTTTAAAACATGTATTATATACTTTTGTACTGTGTGATTAATTATCTATGCATTTATCTCAGCATATATTTTACTAATTTAAAATAATTGCAGCATTTTTCAAATGAAGTCAGTATGAATTGGAGCACATTTTAGACCAGTCTCCTCTGCTGTGGCATCAGCAGCAGTAAGGTCAGGCGTGTAGTCAAAACAAAAACAAAAGTCACCACTTGCATGTGAATTGGGTAGTTTAACTTAATAATATAATACTTTTACAGCCTAATTCCCTCTTTCTTTTTTAGACGAAGTCTATAATCAATAATCACTTTTAACAGATTCTAATTTAAATGTTTGAAAAACGGCTTTTGTAACTAAAATAAAAAATACATGAAAAAATTCTCACAAACAGCTATGAAATATATCAGAGATACAATAATGGACTCACAAAATAAGCAGCAGATTTAAAAAGAAAAGCAAAGCTTTTTGTACTAATCTTTGGGTTTCAAAAACATACTAATTCAAAACTTCTATTCCCTAATGGTGTTTAAAAACGTTTAACTGTGTCTAACACAATGTTCAAATGGCAAATTTAGCAAATTTAACGGAATAACTACTATGAAAAGCCAAATTCCTAAAGCAGTAGCTTTGCTTCAGATTCACAGCCAGAGCAGCGAAGGAGGGGGCCGTTTCCCTGACAACGGCAGCAGATAGAGCGACGCACACACGCACAGGCAGAAAGATACAGAAGAATAACTTTCAAGATTACTTTGTTAAGCGAATATAACTGATGTTGTTCTTTAAACTTTTGTCATTTATCAGCCTGAAATTCGTCAATTTCAAAGCTTTTGTAACAAAGGCCTCTTTAACACATTTCCCTTTTTATAATAACTTTTATTATTACACCATGGTTTCACTAACTATTTTCTATTCTCTATTCTCTGCCCCGGCTACTCCAAAGGCAGGGACCCCGATACGTCAGGGGTTCCTTTTTCTCTCTGCCCCGGCTACTCCAAAGGCAGGGACCCCGATACGTCAGGGGTTCCTTTTTCTCTCTGTCCTGACTACTTCAAAGGACAGGGACCCCGATACGTCAGGGGTTCCTTTCTCTCTGTCCTGACTACTTCAAAGGGCAGGGACCCCGATACGTCAGGGGTTCCTTTCTCTCTGTCCTGACTACTTCAAAGGACAGGGACCCCGATACGTCAGGGGTCCCTTCCTTTCTCCTATAGGGACTGGTTACCCACACAGCTAACCTGTTTTCTACAACATAAGACATGACAAAGACGTGACAAAGACACAACAAAGAAAATTTGATTTAGAGAGATTTGGACAGACCTCCGGGACAGCTCAAAATTTAGCTAGTATCCAATTATGCAGACTTTACATATTAAAAAAGGTGTCTGCTTACCTTAATTCTTTGTCCGGACTGTTCGAGAGGTCGACCAACATCTTTTCCGCGTCGAAAAATTCAATTTAAACACAAAACAGAGAAAGTGAGGGAGCAAGAGCAAGCCCATCCAAAAGCGAGCCCTTTCAGCGTCCACTGGGATTTCTCCCCTTCCAGATAACGTGCTGTTGCTCCCACACGCCGAAAAATAGAAACAGAGGAAAGTCCCTCAAAACAATCCAGAGAATGGCACAAACCGAGCCGCACATTCTCCACCAAATCTGTTAGGATTTAGCAGACAGAGACGGATCGTGGTGTGCCAAACTCTGGAAGTTTATTTAAGTTTCTCTCAGGTTCCACTGGTTTACTCTGTTTCTTTCCCTCAGACAGAATAAAGGCAGTACACGGTTTATATAGTCATTGTCACGTCACACATCGAAAGACATACGTGTCACAAAGAGACAGTCACATCAGAGTCATAACATGGAGTCCTTGTAGAGTCCTTGTACAGTCCTGCACGTAGGCCATATTGCTATCTAATACTAACACTTATTTGTATGAGGTGCGTCACACCCTTTTTATTGCTCAGTCACCAGACATAAAGGAATCTTTTTTTTGAATGGTCAGGCTCCCAAATACGTGTCTGACCTGCTGTGCCTTTACTCCTCCGGTCGCAACCTTAGGTCTTCGGGTCAGAACCTCCTTGCTGTCCCAAAGACCCATTTTAAAACCAGAGGTGACCTGTCCTTTGAAGTTGTTGCTCCTAAACTGTGGAATGTCCTTCCTCTGTCGCTACGTGTGACCGACACTGTCGATTCCTTTAAAAAACAGCTGAAGACATGGCTGTTTGGACGAGCTTTTAGTTGAAAAGGCTGTGATTGTTTTAATTAATTTGTTTTAATATTGCTCTGTAACTTTTATTGCTGTGCCCCTGTGAAGCACTTTGTGATTTTATCTGTGAAAGGTGCTATATAAATAAAGTTTCTTCTTCTTCTTCTTCTTCTTCTTTTCTCGGACATGAGAATATACAAATTCCAATTTTTTTAGGGTTTGAAGATAGATGGATGCTAACTAATTAGCCTTATCTGCTAACCGAGGCTGTATAGGGTATAGTGTGGACATTCGGATACAGCCTGACTGAAATCTTTGGGGATTTTGAGATTTTGACTTCCTGAACCAGGAAGCTCAACTCACTTCGCAGCCTTTCATTTTTCATAAGTTCATGTTCTCTGGCTGTAGAATAACGTTGCCTTGTTTTCAAGCAGATGCACTCCACACAGTATGAAATAAATTAACCACAACCACCAATGTACTGTGTACTGTAATGTACTGTGATTATTTATCTTATTTTGTTCAGCACTTTGAGTTGCCTTGTGTATGAAATTGTGCTATACAAATTAACTTGCCTTGCCATAAAGCGGAGAATCACACACTGCAGCTATGGCAACGGGGGAGTTATGGTCCATCGCGCTGTAACTACTCAGTGGATCTGGCAACCCAACGTCATGAACCAAGCAGGACTGTGGAGAGTCGCTAGCTCTGGGACAACAAGGTAAGAAACATGTTATTAACTAAAGTAAACACTATTCCACGGGTATAACACTATATTCTGGCAGACTAGCTGTATTTAAGTTAAACAAATACCAACGCGAGGGTTTTAAACGCTGTCATAGCAGTTGTCTACATGTAGTTTGTGGTCATAGGGAGCTAACTTAGCTAAAGCTATTTTTACTACAGCAACTAGCTACTTTTATAACCCATGCCATTCTCAGTGTTTTGTGTAGAGCTGTATGCATTCATTATAGTGTAATATTAACTGATTCTTGTTATTGGAAATGTTTATAATAGGTGTTTAGTGCTCGGTCTCTCCTGAATTAGCTTGTTAGCAAATCTGACGGAAGTTACTTGCATTTTACATCATTCCACTGTTTGTATGGATGTCACATGTTGTAAAGTTAGCTTCAGGTTGCATAATTGTATGATCTTTTTTCCATAATTTATACATTAGTTACTTATAGGTTGTTGTTATTTCTTGTTATAATTGCATGTAACAGCAAGTAATATTTGTACTAACCTGTCATTGTTGTTTGTCATAGCAGGTATGTAAATGTCTGACGATAAGGAAGCACAGGAGGATGAGCTACTTGCTTTGGCGAGTATCTACGATGAAGAGGAGTTTCACAGAGCTGAAGCTGCTCAAGGAGGAGAGGTCCAGGTTTGCGTGGAGCTGCCACCAGATTTCAGAGTAGTTACAAAAGGTATTACTATCACCATGTCAGTCCTTTGAGTTTTGTTTCATGTTTTGTTTTAATGTGCTTGAGTGAATATGACCCCCCACAATTTAATCCAACCCAAAACATTATGTGAATCGTGGCTAAATACATCAGTCTCTGGACATGTTATTTCTGTGATGGCCCTATAGTTGCAGTGTTCCAGAGGACAAAAGTGTCTCACAACTTATATTTATTTCACCACTATTTACAAGCTCAAAATGTCCCGGTCTTCAAAGAAACTGCATCATCGAACAAGGAATTTGACTTGTATTTTGTTTGTATTGCAGGAGACAAGCAAACTGAATACAATGTCTGCTTCCTGCCTCCCCTGGTTCTTAACTTTGAGTTTCCAGAAGATTATCCGTCCACATCTTCACCACAGTACACACTCGGTACCAAATGGATGACAAGGGCACAGGTACCATTCTTGAATCTGTGTTGTTTCCTATTGGCTCAAATTGTTCTTATCACCTCCGCAAATAAGTAGTGACATCAGCAGGTTTGGTAGTGTCCGTGTGTTAGTAAGAGCATAAACGCCAAATTCAGTAAATAAATGGGAAATGGTACAAATTATTAGAGTTAGAGGTGATCCGAATGTTTGTGTAAACGAGAAGGTGAAACAATTATGTCATGGAAAAAGCTCTTTTTGGTCTACATAATTTGTTTCTTTATAATTATAATCTTGCTCCTCAGATGAGCGCCCTCTGCAGGCGTCTGGATGAACTGTGGGAGGAAAACCAGGGCTGTGTCATTCTTTTCACATGGATTCAATTTCTTAAAGAGGAGGCGGTGGATTTCCTCTGCATCAGTTCACCTCTCGAGATCCACAGAGCAAAGTACAGCAGTGAACGCAAGAAATCTGAGCCAGGTATAGTATCACACACGCACACACAAATTACATTAAATGCCCCTCTGATCTGGGGCTGCTTCCTAAGTCCTTTTCTTAACCCTCCTTCCCTGATTACTGTCCATACCTGTATAAAAGAGCCCTGTGAACCACACATTGGATTGAGAGCTAATTTGGGATGAGCCTCTCCTTTTCACTTTTCTGTCAGAAAAAGCTGATGTGACAGGCAAGAAATGGATGCATGTGAAAACTAATGATTGGACCAAACTGTTTTCAGGGCAAGGAAATAGTTACATGGATTGTCAATTCAATTCAAATAACTTTATTTATCTGTGAGGAACATTTTGTAGACGGAGCCCCAGTGGGGATCCAACAAATAGAGACAGGATATACACAGGATTGTATTACATAGATGGTGGTATTGAGGCTTTAAAGTTCGGTACCAGAGCTTTAATGGACCAAACAACTTATAACCCTAACCCTAATGCCCTACCTGCATTGTATTCATGTTTAGTTTCAGAGAAGCGAGAAGACAAAAGCTACGAAGTAAAGAAACAGGCAGCCTCCTCAGCCTCCCCGCATGTGGCTGCCTTCGACCCGCGGGCTGTTGCTCTGTCCGACCCGCGTGTGGAGCTCCTTCCCCAGCTTCTGGACCACGATGAGGCCCAGCGGCAGAGGCTGTTTGACGGGAAAGTGTTCTGCTGCGGGATCTGCTTCAGCGAGAAAATGGGCGCGGCTTGCCTGTGCTTCAAAGAGTGCCAGCATGTCTACTGCAACACCTGCATGAGCGAGTACTTCCAAATCCAGATCAAAGACGGGAATGTTCAGTGCCTTAACTGTCCCGAACCCAAATGCTCTTCGGTCGCCACACCACTGCAGGTAAATGAGAAATATTTCGCACTAATAGAACTTTGAACTGTTATTTTTTTTTAATGGTCTTGGCTGCCTGAGTGAATAGTGGCCCTTGTCTCCTGCAGGTGAAACATCTGGTGAGTGAGGAGTTATTCGCACGTTACGACCGACTGCTGCTTCAGTCCACACTGGACCTAATGGCTGATGTGGTTTACTGCCCCCGTATGTCGTGTGGGACCCCCGTGATGGTGGAGCCCGAATCCACCATGGGCATCTGCACTGGCTGTCAGTACGCCTTCTGCACACTCTGTAAGATGGGCTACCACGGGGTCTCCCACTGCAAACTGCCCACAGGTGAAGACTGGCATGTAGCCTTATCCATTTTTTATGTTTCCATAAATAACTTATACCCCCTTTTTTCCTTCTATTATTGGATCCCGACACAATGCCACAGTGATGCATTGAATCCTGTATGAATAAACTGTGTGTTTTTCCAGAGGAGCTTCGGGACCTCAGGGACGAGTACCTGGCGGCCAGTACAGAGGGGAAGAAGTTCATGGAGCTGAGGTTTGGAAAGAAGGTGATTCAGAGAGCCGTGGAGGAGTCGTTCAGCCGCGACTGGCTCAATGAGAACTGCAAGAATTGTCCTCGCTGTGGCACAAACATACAGGTCAGGACACTCTCACTCTCACAGCCGAATACATAAGAAATTATTAAAATTCATTAAAGTACAGGTACATCTTATTCCATTAAGTGAAGCTCATTACAAAGGTTGGACATATTTTACTAACAATAATTGTTTAACTTTATGAACAGATTTGACTTTTTAATGTACCCGGATAATTTTCGAAGTGATATTGATTTCATGTTTATGTTGCATATGTATTCAGCATGACTTTGTATAAATAATGTGTTTTTGTAGAAAGTGGATGGCTGTAATAAGATGACCTGCACGTCCTGTAAGCAGTACTTCTGTTGGCTCTGTATGGGAGTGCTGAGTCGAGGAAACCCCTATAGTCACTTCAACAACCCCCAGTCTCCGTGCTACAACCAGTGAGTCTAAAAAAAAACCTATTCTCCTTTTGCCCTTATTTTCCATCTACAGACTATGTATGTATACCTGTTAGAACCATAGACTGTATATATTAACGGACGTAGTCACGCCTATCTCCGCCGTTCTAACTAATGGGCCATAAATTGGGCTTTCATGGAGTGATTCAAAATGGCCATGGCGGGTTGGAAAATGTGAAAAAACCCATCTGCGCATGCGTCAGCCGGCATGAGCCCCATTCATTTAAACAAGTGTCTTCAAAAATTCACAGTGAGTAAACTAGAGTGGTCCAAAAAAATAATAATAACCCTAACCCAACCTTTGGTAAAGGTGTTTTCAAGAGGTAAGAAGGGTATTGCAAGCATGTCAGCGCACATCATTTTGGCCACTTTTGAGCCGGGACCGCCCCCACTGGTTAGAACATTTACAGAGACTATAATAACCCAATTCACTAGTTCATATAGTACGCCATCAGACAAATACATAGCACTTTTTTTTTTATCTTACTGTTTATTTAGTTGGGACAGTGCATGTTAATGTCATCTCAGGATTGACTCGGGGAGAACATGCAAACTCCACACAGAAAGTCTTTGAGGTTGAATTGAATCCTGGACCTTCTTGATGTGAAGGTCCAAGATTCCTGCACCACCGTGCTGCCCAATAAATAAATATAAATCCATTGTTCTAGTCAATCTGGATGACCAATCTTTACCTCCAATATTGTCTGACTGTCCCTGTCCTTGGCCATGTTCACACTTGTTGGTCTGGGTCACTTTAACTCGACCAAGACTGGTTCACTTTACGTGTAAAAATGTAAACCACCAAACAAGTGACCATCTGCCCACTCGATTACCTTTTGAAAGAGACCTCTGAAGCATTTTTTCCCAAGTGAACTAGACTTGGTCCAGTTAAACCAGACCAACACGTGTGAATGCGTCCTGTCAGAGTCAAAATGAATCACAGCTTTTAAATGTAAGTAGCTAAAATATGTCTAATGATTTGAATGATGTTATTGATAATTGATTGAAGCGCTACATACACACACAATTGAAGAGAAAATATTGAACGCGCCAGTAGGTCATTGGTTGTTCAGGAAAAGTTCTTTGTCGCCTGAATCATATTGACTTTTTTCCCCCCCCATAGATTATTTTTTGGCGTGGATCCAGATGAAGGTGACGAGTTTTTCAGCGACGACGAGGACTAAGCAGTGCAGTAAATGTTCATCAACGCTCTGTTTAAATGCACTTTATCTCACCACAACAACACTGTTTCTGCAGCCTTCATTCTCCCTGGGTTTCAAAAAAATAACTTTTTACAGCTGAAAATTCTCTCACAAAAAATGCAATATTCTCAAAAAAGTGTTCCAAAAGCGGAACACGTGTTTTTGCATGCGTTTGTACTACCTTTAAACTATTGAGGTCATTTTCCCATAATACGAGATCACAATAATGTTTTGCAACTTACAGCTACTATTTATTTTTGTCAATGGTTTTTTTCATTTTAGTTTTATTAATTATCGCTTTGGTGCATTTTCAGGGTGTCGTTAAGGACCTAAGTTGCCAAAATGTCTCATGGATTATGTTTGTTATACATTGGGCTGGAAAATTGTATTATTAGTTAATGCTTAATGTCGTTTGATAATGAAATTTTCTTGGATTTTTTTCTTCCATCATAAACTACAATCTATGATTTACAATACACTTCATAAGCATTCTGTTAACACAAAGTAAGGTTCAATAAATGATACTACGCACATTATTATTGTCCATCCATTCATCTTCTTCCCCTTAATCCATTTCTGGGTCGGGGGGGTGGCAGTCAGAGCTGCACCCAGTACACAGAGCACCAGCCCCTCACTGATCCTCCTGCAGGTGGTGAGTCCACAGGAGCCTTGATCTTCCAGTAGGGGTTTCAGACAAAGTGGGGTTGAGTGTCTTGCCCAAAGACACAAGACAGCAGACATCAGTGGGAGTCGTGAAGTGGGCTCGAACCCACATGCTCTACAAACTGAGCCACTGTCGCCCTACCTTTTTATTGTATTTTTTTATAACAGGATGGGTGCTTGATTTCTTCCCAGAAATTAGATCCCAGTTTCTTTGCAGCCATCTTGGCCTCGAGTTCCCATAAAATATCCAACCTTACGTACTATTGGTCCAAGATAAGTTAATGGATTAATCTCGGTCACTAATCAATTCTTAACTAAATGTTCACAATGACAACAAAATTATTAATGAAAAAAACATTTCTAATCAAGTAATTACATTTATAGTGCTCCTTGTTTCATTTATTGAGTCAATGCATTTCGGTACATTTGTTATTGTTATTAAATAATGTTTTTTGACCACCAAGCCTTTTACTATCACGTAAAAAAAATGTATTAAAAAAATATAAAAGCGCTTGTCGAGCACAGACCTCCGCCAAGAGGCGCAGTTCCAGTCCTATTGAAATTCCTGCATCCAGACAGAGATCTGGATCACTTGTTCCTTGTCACATTCGCATGAAAGCAATTTAATGTGCCTATCTTTGAGCTACCATTTAATAGTTCAGGAACGAAAAGTGTATTAACTGTGACAGGCCTGATTGTGACCCATATTTACCCCTTAGACCAGAGGTCAGGGGGTGACGCAGAAACAATACAAATACTATAGTAACAAAAAGCAGAGTTGCTGACGCAGGACTCCCCTTCAAGCGGCCCCCTGTGCGCTCCTGTCCAGCCCTCCTGCAGCATCAGCCCTCAGCCTCCACACAACGCTGCACTGGGACTATACTCCAGAAGGAACAGGAACCAAAGCAAACCAGAACTTAGCAGCGATTCAACAACATCTGGATTCATCAGCTGAGCCAAAGGCAGAGGACCGAGAGAAGAAACCTGGACTGTGTGAGTGGTTAAAGATGATGTTTAATGTTCCTGTTGTGGACACCATTTGCATTTCTAAAGAAATATTTTTCAACAAAGCGGTGGGTTTTCTGAGCCATATTTAGATGAAAGGCAAGAGAGGAATAATTGACTAATTATCGAGGGTTTTCATATACTTTAGGATTAACAGTGATTTTGCCTGTGCAGCAAATGTAATATGATAGACCTATACATGGGTGAGAAATTATTGAACATTCTAAATCAGTTTATTGACAAAAGGATCCTCCAAATATTGGGCCATCAACTGAAACCAATGAATAGACGGTGAAATTATTTGTTAATTATTGTTATATTATATGATGTACCGTGTTACTGTCTGGCTGCCATGTTTTAACTCCATTGTGTTGTGTTAAATGGACCAAAGCCCATTGTATTTCACAAAGGCAGAGGCGAGTAGTAATGAGTGACATATATGGAGCCACTGTGAATACCTTTCAGAAGAAATTCTTGCATTTGACTCATGTACATTTGAAATGTCTAGTTTTGTCCAGCTTTTTCATGTGAGTAAATCCATTCTATTTCTGCAACAATCAACAACATTTTTTAAAATATTTAAACTTTTATCTCTACTCTGGAACGTTACAGGAAAGTTACGAGATCTTTGTCCCACAGTGGGGAAATTTCAGTGTTGCATCACAAGTTACAGAACTGTAGGAATGAGTAGCACCACCCTCTCCTCATACCTCTGCATTTATGTTCCCCACATTAAAGACGCCCGATGAACGGATTCATTGGGTGGCATCAATTATTATGTCCTTTTAAAATATGGCAAATAATGTCTTGTCCATTCCACGATTCCTTTTGAACAATTGATTAATAATACCAAGAAACCAATGAATAAAGTAACATGGATTTTTAAAATGGCATTACATACCGTAAGTCACTCTGCTTTGCATCCAATCCATGGGTTATAGAGTTATGAAAAAGAAATGACAAAAAAGTTATGACAAAAGAAAATATATATACTAATCTTTCAGCATTCTGGTTTCATAAATTGTCTTCACCTTCCTGTTTTGACAGATTAAACATTGAGGCCAAACTTCCACGTCCAAACCTTCCACGTCTTCCCTTCAACCAGAGGGTTTCCAGTTCGGAGCAGAGATGATTGAGAGTGACAGAGAGCTTTCAGCGATGGTCCAGGAGCTGTGGGACAACGACACCAACCGGCTGAGACCTGGGACGGACTATCGCATCTCACTACAGGTCTGAATGTCAGTTATAGTTGCCTTTTATATTACAAAACTATCATCTATGTCACTTACAGCTGATTATAGATGAGCTAGGTATTTGGTACTGTGGAGTCCCCCAGGGTTCAATTCTTGGTCCAAGTCTTTTTTGCCATCTGTTCACTTTTATGCATCTTTTCCTTTTTATGAGTGCTTACATTCAAAACATTGCCATATATAGGTAAACATAAACATGATAAAGCAAGCACGTAAGCAATAATAAGTTGTAGAAGTTACTTGTGGCCACTCGAAGCCATCTTCCCGTGGACTCACCACCTGCAGGAGGATCAGCGAGGACTGAAAGGATGTACAAGACCCTTCCTTACAACACAGTTTACAATTGTTATTACACATTGCCGCTGTTATTACTGCATAATAACTTTTTTATATCTGTATTGTGTATGTGTTTGGTTCCATGTGACACACTCAGTACAACATCAACATTGTCTAATTGCTGTAGTATTGATATTTCTAAACAGGGAAAGGTGGGAGACACAATGGGAAGCGATGACAAAAATGACGCCGCTGGATTCCCACTTTTCACATACGTGGACGAGAGCATTTTCAAAAAGGAGACGTTTTTGGGTGAGTGCAGGGTACAATTTTAAACCCAAACCCCAACGATTAAATATAATTAAATACCAGATTATCTAGTTACAGTATGTATACAGTGACTTCATTCAATCGTCCTCACAGTTTCTAACAAAAACTTCTTTGACACAAAACAATTGAAGTGAAATTAGGTCAAAACCCAACAATTGACTCAAATGATCAAACCTTTTCATTCAGCAAACTTTTTTTACGTATTGATTGAATGCATATGTCTGGTTTGTCGCAACCATGCTTGGTCATGTCTAAGATGCACTATCCCAAACACTTAAAACAACAAATACTAAATTATGGAGTTTCACTGAAAAGTTGGAAAGCCTGTTTTTATTAATGCATATGGGATTTATTCCTTTTTATTTATTTATAGCTTGAGTCTCCATGACCCCAATGTCACGGTTCATTGATTAAAAAAGGACTTGTAATTAAGCACAGGCCATTTCACTCTTTTATGTCTCTCCCATCTGCAGCAGAGTTCTAATCTTCTTATGACGAACAGTGCAGTGTTGCGTAACCACAGGCCACAGAGAAAAACAAAGGGGCAGTTTGGATTTGGACAGATTCTGATGATTTTGTAGTACTAATACATAAAGTTGGATTGAAATGGGACACAATATACTGTATGCCTTAAATGCCCAAACCTACATGATGATAAGGTATACGGTATATTTTTGACAGTTAAAGCAATACTGTGAAACTACTCAGGCAGAGAATAGGGTTCATTTTCAAAACCAGAAGACAGCCATAAACAAACAATTGCATATTTTATTTATAATAAATATGCATTGAAAATGAAAATGTGTAATAATGTCTTGGGTTTCCAAGGCAAAATGCAACAGCACTTGCCAGACTGTTGCGCGCTGTTGAAAATAAAGTATTTTTTGTACATACATAAAGGCCGCACATAAATCCAATCTATTTTGACAATAAACGTGTGTTCCTACTAAAACAATACATTTGGTTCTGACTTCAGCCCTAATCATATAAAACATCCTGCGTATTTCCCTGCACATCCTCATGTTGGCTCTCTGCTGGTCACATAAACACACCAGGAACCAGGAATGAGTGCTACGTCATCAGATCATTAGCTTTATTACTAGACTCCCAGGAACTTTGCATGTTCAACTACTTTCATGAATAGACCGTTAATATATATAACTAATTGTCATGAAAAAGATCTTTATATGATTTTTATCATGGTTCTGTTGTTCTTGCTGAATTTTACAGCCTTTTCAGATGTAACTTCATTATCTGTAATACTGTAATTTATTATTTATGTGTACAACAAGTAAATTAGTAAAACATAAAAAGGAATTTCTATATTTGTGGCTTTGTTGCTGTATGTAGAATGTGCCATGTAGACCTGCCCGAGTTTTTGCTGCTGTTGGCTCCTAAAGAGAGTGAAACCTTATAAACTGTTTTGATGTTTCAGCTTTTATCTCCCTCCTGGATAACTATGTGAGTGACACTGGGGAGCCAGAGATCGTGACTCCCGAAGAAGAGGCTGAAAACCACAAGTTTCTCGACTCAATGATGCAAACTCCCACAATGAAGGTAATGTGTCTTAATGTTCACTGAAAATAAGACTCCAACTTGAACACTGCAAAATGGCAAAAAAAATAAAAATAACTGCACTTGAGGGACCATTTCTATTATAACACAGCATTTCCATCTACCATAGAAAAAAAATCCACAAACTAATAATAATAATTGTAATATTTTTTTTTAATACATACATTAGTTAGTTAGATACTTTATTGATCCCTGTAGGAGAAATGTGTCCAGTAGCAGCAAAAACACATCCATCCACACAAACAAAACCAATGCATAAGACATTTCTGTACTTGTACTTCATATAATAAAAATAAAGGGTAATTATTAGTAAATTAGTCATACATGTTGTTTTTGTGGTAATAAAAGTTAGCAAAATGTTCTGTGGTTGTGACAGATCGCTCATAAATACCTTGCGGAGAAGAACTTGTCGCCCAAAGGACAGGAGGAGTTCAAAAAGCAGCTGTACCGGATCTGGTTCGAGCTCTACGCACGCCGAGGCTCCAGCAGGTACCACTTTATATGTATACCTTTTTATACTTTGTTTGTTAATAGGCTAAGGCTTTTTTTAAATATATTTTTTAAGTATATTATTTTCAAATATGGAGTTGTGCAATACTTAATATTCACTTGATATTCTCCTCCTCATTCCTACAGTTAAGTATTTTTTGTGCAATACTGAAACTTCCCCACTGGATTAAGAGATAAAGCAACTCTTAATCTTTATCCTAATATTAAATACACCTCATTCAAACTCAAACCAAACAAAGATCTGAAGAAGTGTTTGTTGTTTCCAGGCCGGACTCCTCAGGCTTCGAGCATGTGTTTGTGGGGGAGACGAGAGGCGCTCGCACTGTGATCGGCTTCCACAACTGGATCCAGCTGTATCTACAGGAGAAGCTGGGACACATCGACTACAAAGGCTACAGCGTCAGCGCCAACTCACCTCTGGTACTGGAATGTATATTGCTCTGACTGAAAATAACTGCTTTTTTTTTTGACTCCTATAAATACAATGAATTAATAGTATTCAAGGTGCAAATGATAGAGCAATACAGCTCTATGAATACGGAAAAAATAAGAAGCCAAGTAGTTAGAATACTTTTTGTGGTGTTGGAAAATAACCCAAGTAGTCACAATAATTATAGAGGCGGATGAAACCATTTTTACAGCTACTATTTAGATGTTGATCTAGAAAATATAATGATGTCTTTTCTCAGGCTGTTTCTCTCAATATAAACAGAAAGGAAATCTTAATATAGTAATGGAGACTTGGTGGCATTAAAATGTCCTTAAACAATATTACATTATTTAAAGGTCTTAAATTTCACCTGACCAAACCTAGATCTGTTGTTCCAATACTAAAATGACAAACTCTATTCCAATGCTGAGAAATAGACTTCCAACTTCTTTATGAACAGTACCACTAGGTTTTTAACTAGTTCTGATATTGATTCAAATTAAAAAAGCTGCTTTGATTTTGGTCAGTACTAATAGGTGGCATGACTTCCATGCTTCCAATTTCTCAATAAAGGGTTCAAAAGTGGTTATCAGAATGTAAAAAACATGAAGGATGTTGTTCATTTCAATTTATCTTGTATATTCTGTATATTCCTAAATCAGTTCTCTCGGATGACTTTACAAAATTGCCAATTCACCAACAACAGATCAGAGAATCAAACAGTTCGAACACAGAAATTGCAATAATAACAAACACATAGGAGCCATCCATAGAGCGAGATAACCACTCAATAAATGTTAATAAATATCCTCGAATGTCCCAGATATAGTAGAAAGGACTTTCAGACACAAGAGCAATATGGCGGAATCTGATCACTATCAAATAATCTGAAAAATTCAATTCTTAGAGCTGTTCTTTTTGTTAAAAGATTGCTTTTTCCCTTAGAATTGTATTGCACCTGTCCTCCAACTGAACTTAGTGTTAGTATGGAATAATATCTGATACTTTTGACAATTAGGAATGAGTTATTGTTATGAATTCAAAAGCTGAATGTTAAGCTTTTCCATCCTGTCTGTTATTTTCAGCCTGATGAGAAGAAGCACATCTTGGCTCTGCAGTTCAGCTGGAAGGACGGCATCAAACCCAAAGGCAGCATCTTCATCGGCGTCAGTCCCGAGTTTGAGTTTGCTCTGTACACTCTCTGTTTCCTCTCGTCTCCGAACGAACGTGTCAAAGTCCAGTTCAGCCTGTACGACGTGGAGATCGTGTGTCACCACTACAACCAGAAACACATCGGCACCACTTACCCTGTGCTGCTCAAGTACCAGAACATAAAGTAAAGTAATTCACAAGTCTTGCAGGTTATGTTGATGTCTTTTTATTTTAGAGATACAATAAAGCCTACTAAAACACTTTCCTAGTTCATTTTTGATGATGATCAGATTCAGATTTATTTCTTTTGCCATTTCAGTAAAACCACATTGGAATACATTTTCAAAAGTTCCCAGTGTGCAACAGACAAGTATGTAAATAAAACAAGGTACCGTGACCCCAAGCCTCTGTGCCTAAACGCTGATAAATCTGTGCCTTAATAGCCTTACTCCTGCTGTTGTGCCCAGTGAAATGAATGACTTCCTATGGAGCGTTAGGGCTTGTCAGTCCCTGAGAACACAATAGTTGCGGCTTTAGTTATTATTATTTTTTCTCAATAACATTGACATACAGATGTGCCAGAATACTGCTTGGAATAAACTTACTACAAAAGAAGAAAAGAGGATAACTGGTCCATTTATCCCGGAGGCCGGCTTCATTTTTGACAGGCCACATGTTGGCCTCCTCTCGCTGATAAAAAACAAAACAAAAAACAGTAATACGTGGAAAATACAAAGGATGAACAGAGAAGTTATTTTGGAAAAAATACTTACAAACGGCATCTGTGCCCTTTTGTCAGAGAGATGCAGATAAGCTCAAAGGGGCCTTTTAAAATAATATCAACACCAGGATATTACAAATATTTTATTTTCCATCAAAAGTAGGCTTGAATTGCAATGTTCAAATCACATTATCCCTGTGTTCTTACGTCCCATTATAACCAAGTTCTGCGCATATAAATAAATCCAAGTACTTCAACAGATTGTTTTGTAACACCACACAGATCTGGCTTATGCACTACCTATCAGTGACAGATGGGGGCGACAGAGAGTTTGTTTTGGCCATTGACGTCAATCTGACCTAGACACCGTGCTGTCAAAGCAACGAAACTTTATTCAGCTGAAACGGAAGTACATTAAAATCCTTTCAAAATATGACTTTTAGTCTCCTTGTAATACAATTATTAAGAAACGTGTCATCATATTCTGCATGAGAATGAAACATATGTATGTAATGTAAAATACTAATTTACTGCAGCGTTTTTCAACCAGTGGGCAGTGGCACGTTAGGGTGCCTTAAGATGGTGTTTGGATTGGCTTTGGAAATCATCCAATGTCACATAATTTGTCAACATATCGTGAAAAGTGATGACGCAGGAGATGGATTAGAAAGACTTGTTTGATTTTTTTTTATATACAACTCTTTGATGAGAATAACTTGTGACTATTCAAAGTAATTAACTATTTGATGTTTTGGGCTAACCAGAACATGGTCCTTTTTTATCCTATTTCTGTCTAAAATTGTGTTTTTTTTTTATTACAATTTAAAAAAAGATTATCTAAAATGTGACCGAGGCAACAAAAATACATGCGCGTAAAAACTAGTGATAGAACCATACTACATAGTTCCTTTTATGTGGTTTGAAACTTAGGATAATTAATTTAAATAAGTACTCTCTTTGCTTTTACTGAAGTACCCAAGTTTTTATTACATATTCCATTCCTCTGTTCTGGTCAGGAAAGACCACTGAGATTAAGAACGTTTTTTTTTCATGGGAATCCTGGACATTGAAGTCTCTCCACTGAGGGACGAAAAAGGTTGATCTTATCTTACTTTTGTCTTCAGCATTTTTTTTGGAACATTTTATTTTGAAACGCCCCCCGGAAGTGCCTGGCCTGCAGAGCGCTGCTGTCCTGGAACATTAGCAGCAGTGCGGAGCAGGGCTTTGGCTTTGACGAGGCTTGGATCACAGTCTTTGCGGTTCACGCTTATATAATTTCACTTTTGTCGGGTGTCTTGTTTAATTCCACTATTTCTGCTGCTGATCGCCGACTCCTTGAAGCAGGGATGGCCGAACCCAGCGCCAGGTATCAGCAGGTAAGACGAAAAATGAGTAGTTTTGACTGATTGAGCGATGGCTACGCCTTGACGTAAAAGGGTTTTGTTAGCATGGTCGAGCTAATTAGCAACACAGCTAACATGGGGCTAAAAAATTGTCACGGGCTCACTTTTAGCTTTTAATATGCGTCTCATTTTTTGTAGTGTTAAATGCATTGTATATTTTTGCAGATTTTTCTTAAAACGTAATTTGCGTTGGCTTTAAGAGCATGGATTCATTTGCAGTAAAATTGGCCCATTCGAATAACAACATAATCGAATAACAACATATTCGAATAACAACATATACGAATGTTCATGTTTTGTGTATGCAAAGTTAATTATTTAATTAGTTGTTGTCAGCATACGACATTTGATCTTGTACGTTGTTACAATATGGCCCGCTATTGAATGAATTAAACGAAAAATAATTTTACTTTTAGCTTATTATTAACTAAGGTCATGCATTGATTGATTCACATGGGGCACTACTTGGACTCTCCTATTACAAGATAATAATATGGTGTCTTTTGCTAGTTCTGCAGTGTAGGTGATAATACGTGGGTGTAAAACATGCAATTCTTTCATCCTTTGATTCTTCTTATTGTCTCATGCATTGAGTTGAAATGCTTTTGTTTTCAGTCATTCAGTCTAGTCTTGTTTCTCTTTGAAAGAGACGATTCTTTCTGTATCACGTGCTAAGGGGAAGTTTCTGTAAAATGTGCCCTCTCAGCCTATTTAACCCTAAGTAAAAGCAGTATTTTTTAGCGTTGTAATTTCCTTTAAGAAATTCAATATTGACTAACCCGTGTCACTATAAACAAATGCCTCTCTGGACTTTAAATTGTGTATTTTGACCCAAAGAATGTGTCTACACACAAATTGTATTACTTGTACTTGTATTGTATTTTTATTAAAAAGAGAGAAAAGGCCTGTGTTGTAATGCAGATAAAACGGGATAAAACAGAAAACAAATCCAGTGTGCTTGCCAACTCACTGTATATCTGCTGTGGCCTGCATAAATCATTTACAATCCCAGTATGAGAGACAATATGTGCTTGACTAAGAAGAAGACATCATTGATTGACTGGGATTAGGTTAGAAAGCACAGTAGATTAGATAACTTTTTAAATCCTAAATGTACCAGATTTTTTGTGCCCGAGGGCCACGCAATTACATTCCTTCATAGCTTAAACCTTTTAAACAGCGTCATGTTGTGCTTTGGCTGTGAATAATGGCTTATGATTAAAAAAGCTTAACAGGTTGGTCTTGTTTTAAACTGAGACTGGTGATGAGACTGTAATTTCAGTAACACTTTTGGGAATTTGGGAATTTTTTTTGAGTTTTGTCATGCTATAACCTGAACTCATTGTGGACACTTCCTATGATGGTATTGTGTGGGTGGTATTAAGCAGGGTGTATTCTTGGCCTGTTCATTTATTAAGTACAATGGTATAGCTTTGTTTATGTTTTTATTTTTAGGTCATGGGAGAAGAACCCATGTGACTGCTTTCTTATGAATTCTTTATGGGGGTTAAAGTCTTAGAAATGTGCCATTTCTATATATGAAAAATGAGTGTACATAAAGTAAAAATTATGTTTGCTTGCTTACATTTCTTCTTTCAGCTGCCGAATGAGGAGGACCCAGAGGAGCGGCCAGAAGCTGCAGCCGACGCTCCACCTCCTCCCTACAGCAGCGTCACAGAAAGCAACGCAGGTAAAAACATGGGATGAGTTTGTGTTGTGTTGCGGTTATCATGACATAAGTAGATCTTAAATGCATTGAGATTGGAAGAAGGACAAACAAAAGCATTTGATAAGAACCGTACAAGATATGCTTTTGTGTGTCCTCCTCATGCTTTATGACATAGCATTTGCATCTGTGGGTTGGAGCTACCAATCATCACAATAAAAGTAAAAAAATTTGCTAAATAGATTACAGGTGTTGGGGAGTCAGACATATGGGAATTCAATGTCCTAGTCAAGGCAAGTTTATTTGTATAGCATAGTTCACACAAAAGGACATTTAAAAAAGCGTTGCAAAAGAAGGGACACATTCAAATTATACAAGGCCATTGAATTATGTTTAATGCGCAAATTCAACATAAATAATCCCAATACATTAAAAGAGTGTGGTTACAATATTTCAGTTTTATGCACAGTAAATAAAGAAATAAAACAACGTAGAATAAAAGTGATTGTCTGGAGTAAAGTTTGTCAGAAAAAGATGATTGACAGCCCTTGGCATCACTTAATTGGTTAAACTGGACGGCATCGTGGATTTCTAGCTATAGCTAAGAGAAGGGAAGGCATAAAATGACTTATTTCATATCACTATTAAAGGTCAGGAGGTCAATTTAATACAATTCTTAAAATTTGTAATTCATTTAGAGTTCCAGACTGTCACTTTAAATATCAAACAGGCAAGTGTTATTTTTTTTAAAATTATTATTATTATTTTTTCCCAAGCTAAACCAATTCTTAAATGGGACAAAACAATGTATATGGTGCTGCTGAATAGAGACATTTTGGAAATATTGTCAAGCACAGAAGGCACGTTGTCATGAACCAACACTGCATCGTGTTCAGTTTTTGAAGCTTGTTTTGTGTTTTCACATCTTGTGCATTTCCCAACCTTTTTTTTCTCTGTTCTTTCTCCAGCATTCTTCCAGTACAAGGACGATGGGAGTTTCCCGAAGCCTCCCTCCTACAATGTGGCCACTTCTCTGCCGTCGTACGATGAGGCCGAGCGCTCCAAGGTGGAGACCACGGTTCCCCTGGTAACGGCCAGAGTAAGTGCTGCGACATTAGCTGCGACATTAGATTAATAATCTCAATGTTGTGAAACTGAAGATGGGAGCGTATCAGTGGATCGATAAACACTCATCAAGGACACATTAGACCCATAACATACCAAAGATAAGATAGAAGAGCTTTTTGTATACTTTGAGTTGCAGTAAGGGCTAATCAGGATAATGTCTGAAATACAAGTTTTTTTATTTAAAGTTGAGTCCAATCATACTACATAAAACATTCTAATATTTATGTTAAAATGTGTTGGTTAGGCTGGCTTTTACAATTTCTACAACTCTGCCACAGTGCATTACTGACAGGCTGTGGTATAAAAAGCTTTAGAATCAGAATCATTTTTATTGCCAACGTAAGTAACAGGAGGTCACAGACTTGGAAATTGCTTTGGCTCAGTGCAACAGTCAAAAAGAGATAATAAAAATAAGAATAAAAAACACTTCTAGGGATTTCCTTTGTCTTCAATGTGTCATAGTATAATATTAAACAATGAATTTAAATGACAAGCCTTTTAGTGTGCACAGCGCCTCTCCACAGATCTTAAATAACACAATAATGCCATCAGCAAGTTACATTTAAGTGTATCTTTTTAGTGACATGCCCTCTTAATACTTTATTCTGACCGCACATATATAATTGTGCTAACTTTGATACAGCAGCTGGGTTTGTGGTTGGATGGTTTTCTGAGCAGCTCTGTCTCTGAGACAGAAGTCGCTCGTCTGGTGTAAAGCACAAGTGATGCGTTTCCTGCTGCAACTGAAAAGGTTTCAGTGTTTGGTTGTTGAGCAGTGAGTCTTTTTTTAATTAGGCAGAAATTTAATCTATGTCTGAAATCTAAATTCACTAATTTAAGTAATTTGTCAAATAAATAGTTTAATACAAATACCTTTTATAATGATACAATATACTAGGGCTGGGTGATATGGCAAAAAAGTAAAATCTTGATTTAATTTCCTGCTTTGGACGATTTTGATTTTATATCGATTTTCATTAAAGTCACCGAAGAAAGACTTTGCCCTTAAAAATATTTTTTGATTTTTTTCCCCCTTAATATTCAAGTTTCAAAACTATTTTTAATTTGTTTCCCCCAATACGTATTATAAAAGTCTTGTACAGACTGTGCTGATATTGCAAATATAATTCATGTGCTGCTGGAACTCTCACAATATCATTCGATTTTCACATTTTTCACAAATTAGATTTTTTCAAAAGCCGATTAATTGCCTAAATTCGATTTATTGCCCAGCCCTACGATATACATTATATTTGCCTAAACCCAAATAAAAACCTTTCCATACGACCACAAAGTTAAAACCCGCAACTTTTATTGTTGCAGCACATTCACATTCTTCAATCTTAATAATTTACCACAATGAGTTTATGAGAACTTTTCAGAACGTCTAAAGATCAGAGCAGGTTCTGCGGTAAGCTAACCTCAGCGTGTTGCACTAATCAAAGTTATGAATCTTAATTTGTAGTGCTTACAATTTATGTTTAAAAAACACACAGCAATTTACTTAAATTATATATTTTTGAAACAATTTCTGTGTTAGATTTTTGATCTGGACATTTTCCGGAAACGTTTACAATATTCCAGGGAACAAGTGATTCCATTTTTGACGTGATCTGAATCTCCTTCTGGATGCAGGATTATTTTTAATGGATCGGAACTGTTTCAAGGCCTCACGAGTTCTTTTATATATATGTTGTTGCTGTTGTTGTCCTAGACCTGTGTAGGGGTTTTTGTGTTAAAATAATAAAATGATACACATAAAAGATTAAACCATAGAAAATGTCAAAAATTGTTTTTAATCTCAACATTTCTTGTAAAAGTTGAAAGATTTCCCAGACTTTAAAACGTACAATTAAATTAAATTCATTTTTGTATATCTTTAAATCACAACAGTAGTTGTCTTGGAGGACTTTACAATTCTGTCGATTCACCAACATCGATCAGAGAATCAAAGAGTTCAAAAATGATTATTAGATTATTCCGATAGCTGTCAAATAATTGTATAAATCTATGAATTGCGATGTTTCTGTGGCGTTTGTCCTTGTTTATCTACAGAGCAGGTTGTTCTGACCCAGATCCTGCTCTGACATGTGTTGCCTTCTACCTCAGTGACCAGCAGATGTCTTCATCGTCAAAACAATACAACCACATCCACGCAGCATATTCTTCTGAATGATAAGTAGGGCTGCAACGATTAGATCAATTCGCACTAATCAACTAAAAAGATAAGGATTAAAAAAGATAGAGGGAGGCAGAGAGAGAGAGAGGGAGGGAGGCAGAGAGAGAGGGAGGCAGAGAGAGAGAGAGAGAGAGGGAGGCAAAGAGAGGGAGGCAGAGAGAGAGGGAGGCAGAGAGAGAGGGAGGCAGAGAGAGGGAGGCAGAGAGAGAGAGAGGGGGGCAAAGAGAGGGAGGCAGAGAGAGAGGGAGGCAGAGAGAGAGGGAGGCAGAGAGAGAGGGAGGCAGAGAGAGAGGGAGGCAGAGAGAGAGGGAGGCAGAGAGAGAGAGAGAGGCAGAGAGAGAGGGAGGCAGAGAGAGAGGGAGGCAGAGAGAGAGAGAGAGAGAGGGAGGCAGAGAGAGGGAGGCAGAGAGAGAGGGAGGCAGAGAGAGAGGGAGGCAGAGAGAGAGGGAGGCAGAGAGAGAGGGAGGCAGAGAGAGAGGGAGAGAGAGGGAGGCAGAGAGAGGGAGGCAGAGAGAGGGGGAGACAGAGAGAGAGGGAGGCAGAGAGAGAGGGAGGCAGAGAGAGAGGGAGGCAGAGAGAGAGAGGGAGGCAGAGAGAGAGAGGGAGGCAGAGAGAGAGGGGGAGGCAGAGAGAGAGGGGGAGGCAGAGAGAGAGGGAGGCAGTTGGTTCACTGTTCTTATGCAGTGTAATTTATACCAAAGGTTTGTGTTTACTTTTTATTTATTCACGGTGCATTTCATTTGTTGCCAGACCAGCCGTACATTCCCCTCTACATCCGATTTGTCAGTTGGTTCCGGCTGGTTCCTCATTTGTACATTTTTTTGCTTCTTCAGTTGCCGTTCTGCAGTTGACTAGGTTAGATTTAACTTTGTCATTACAATGTCAGAACAATGCAACATGCAGTTAAGTATCTAACCAGTAGTGCAATAACGCAAATATGAGGCAAATCAGGATAATATTTACAACACAAATGAGTATATATGCATGTATGCCAGACTGTACAAAGTTGCTATTTCTAGTATATTGATTACAATGTGCTTTAACACGGTGAGAATTTAGGACCATGATTGCTCTGTGATTACAAACGGTCTCTTTGGTTTTGGTCCTTTTAGTGACAGCAGTCGTAATATAGACTTAATATACTGTACTTTCATATTATAAGCCACACATAAAACACACACATTTAAGATAATTTCTGTTGGATTGTACAATTGGAAATTACACAAATATTTGCCTTTGTCACTCTTCTCAACAAACAATACTTTTCATAAAAATCAGTTTAATTGAAAATACGAGGGCTTTCATCTGACGCCTGGTTGTTTCTTTGCCACGCTCGCTGCCCGTGCCGCAGACACTTTTGGACACTTTTGACGATGTAATTCAAAGTTCTCTGGAGGTAAAGGGCGTTGGCAGCACCGTCCCTTTTACTGTACAATGTATACTCCATGTATTTAGTACATAGTAGCAGTAGTATTACCAGTAGCTTTTGAGATTTACCTTTTTAAATATTGGAAAAAAAATCATTATTATTTAATGTTGGTAAATATGTAGTATATTTTCGGTCTTAATCTAATTGTCTGCATTTTTGGACATATGTTATTTTGTTTGTAAAACTAGCCGGGCAGTGACAGCAATTATTTTTATTCTTATTATAGATATTTATTTAATATCTTTAGAATAATGAAGTATATCTCTAATTTAGTAACCAATCCGTTGCTTAGTTTATCTACTTTTAACTCAGATAAATCACATGAGACTTTATACATCTCACCACATTCATCATTTTGTTTCTGGATTTATACAATTGTTATTTTACTAAATGATACTAAAATAGTTGACGAATTGTTTTAGATTTGGGGTTCTGAAAATGGGGGCAAGTTCAGGCCTCAAATTGATTTAATTCAACCTGTGAAGGACACACAGGTTATGATTTAAGTATTTCCATCTCAGGTTGTGCAGAAATGTACCTTAAGACAAAACCTGTCATTTCTTATGATTATGATAAAACGTGTCTTCACAAACACCCTTTAGCTGCAACATTGGTTCATGGTCAGACGTGGTTGTGCCGTGTTTGTGGTGGTTTCATTCAGTCGCACTCCTCACACAAATATATCTGTGGTTTTTGTATAGTTTCAAAAAGGAAATCTTTTTTATATTTTAATGACTGTATTTTTCATCCCCTTTCATCCAACATGGGTCTGATGTTGTTACTATGTTCTTAAAAAGGTGGATTTATCAAAATACTATTGTTTTTTCCTTATTTTTCCTAATATACTACAATTTAGAAGAGTTTTATTTTTTAATCAAACCATGTATTTGTTTTAATAACAGTATAGTTAAAGATTATTCTATATTGGGAATAATCTTGATTGAACTTTACTAATCAGTTAAAATGTACAAGTTTTGATATTGTATGATTCCAACTGTTTAAACATGGACCTTTGTATCACATGGACATTATAGAAATTATAATCTTTAATATCTGTAACAAACAAGTATTGTTTTGATCACGACAATTGTGAGTTTCAAAGCGTCTCATGCCAAGTCTCTTTGCACTGAACAGGAAAATGATGTAAAATATAAAGCTGATAATTTTAATAGTTGAAATGATCAGAAAATACAAACCAAAACATTTAAAACTTGGTCGTATCATTAAAGCAGTTCCTCTTTTTAAAACCCTCCTGTGTTTGTAAAGTAATATTTAGGGTCAAACCTCATCCTCCTTGTGAGTTTTAACCTGTCTTTCTGGAACCTTGTGCGTTTTGCTGTTGTAAAGTCATCAACGCAGTGAACAAATCTATTTTAATTAACCAAATTTCTTTGTTTGATTTCTTTGTCGAATCCAGGATGACGACTTTGTGACCAGAGACGACTTCGAAGACGCCGATCAGCTGAGGATAGGAAACGACGGGATCTTCATGCTCACCTTCTTCAGTGAGTTTCATTTTGCGGCGCGGCGGCCGAGTGGTTAGCGCTAGAAAGTCCTGGGTTTGATTCCACCTTCAGATCAGACAGAGCTTTTTCTAAGTAGAGATTGCATGTTCTCCCTGTGTCTGGGTGCTCCGGTTTCCTCCAGCTCTAAAGAAAATGTAGTAGCTCCTCCCCTCTTTCTCAAGACTCCCCAGCGTGACTTTTCTGGTTTTTTCACATTACTTCTCTTCTCATGACGTGGATTTGCCATATCATAATTCAGTACATAAAGCCGCGGTACGTAACTTTCTAACCCTAAACTCTTTAACTAATATATACATGCAATAAAATACATCTTTAGATCAGCGTTTTCAGATAGAAAAGTGAAAAAGAGAGAGCCACACAAATCCTTTTTACTTTCACGCAACTTTGTCAGACAAAACTACATGGAACGAAATATTTGGTACCCCAGCTTTAACTGCCCCCCTAGGCCTAAGCGATTAAATAATTGTAAACAGAAGGACAGTCGGTGTTCCTTTTTCTCTCTTTTTATAAAAACACCTACTTGTCCCGGACACGCGTCTTTCTCCTGTTCCGTTCGAGCAGCTACACCCTTTTTATACTGATTTTTAGTTTTATTTGAACAAAACTAGGCGTAAACGCAAACCAACAAATCAGCCCCATTGTCGCAGCTGTTATTAATTGTGCGGCTTTGTCCAGAGCTGTGTCAGTTACACTTTGAATAAATGTGTGTCTTTCTCCGGTTCAGTGGCCTTCCTGTTCAACTGGATCGGCTTCTTCCTGTCCTTCTGCCTGACCACTTCAGCCGCCGGACGTTACGGCGCCATCTCTGGGTTCGGACTGTCCCTCATCAAGTGGATCCTCATCGTCAGGGTAACCATACATCCTCTGTTCAGCCGGTCGAACGAGCAATTTATGTGTAAAAAATATTAGAGAAAAGCTCATTAAAGGAGATCTATATTTTCACCTTCTTAAACATGAAATAATAATTTGAAAGATATTATCATTTTTAATATCTCTTCTGATTTGATTAAAAATTGCGTAGAGTTTTTAAAAGTGTGTGTTACTTCCTGGTTGGACACGAGCAGCCGATATAGCAGAGCAGAGCAACTACAAAACAAAAGCTTCCCAAACCTGTCTAATTTACACAATTTAGAGTCAACAAATCATGAGTTTATTGTTTTTGTGCTAAATCTGGAGGGAAAAACCTTGATTCCATTAAATTTCATTTGGATTCATTGAACAGATTTCCACAAAACCTGTTGTAGATCTATTTCTATTAAGAAAAAAGCGTTGTTGATTATTGCATTTAGATGTTAACTTTCTTTTACTTTTTCCCTGTGCTTTCTGCAGTTCTCCACATATTTCCCCGGATATTTCGATGGGCAGTACTGGCTGTGGTGGGTCTTCCTGGTCATGGGTAAGTTCAATGATTGGTTTGATTAGTCCTGCAAGCGTATGGAACAATACTTTTAAAATTAATATTTTTAAACAAGTTGTGCTGCAAATATGAATCATAAAATAGTGCACATATTCTATAAGTCTTTGACCTTTTCATCAATGAATGTTTGAGTTTTTTGATTCTCATTCAATAAGTTTCCCCCATGAGTCTGTGAGCACTTTAATGATGTTTGATTGTCTTACATCTTACCCGACATATTTCTATACAAACGTTAGATTTTGTGCTACTCTAGTGTAATACATTGCCGTTAAAATATTTGGTGTTACCCTGAGAGTTGTATGTTCTCATGTGCTAACATAAACACACCATCAGAGCACTTGAATGTTGTTTGGCTCTGTAGAGCTGTTCAGGCATTCCATCAAAAAGCAGGTTTTCAACAAGTCCTTATTTGGAATTGACTGCCTTAAAATAATCTCTTGGAAATAGTTGCACCATGTTGAAATATAGTACATGGAATAAATTAGCTGGATCTTCGTTAACAATTGAATGTTTTGCATGTTGGGATTGTCGGGGATCTGAAGGTGAAGGCTGGTCTTAATCTTTTTGTATCCATTTTCCTTGTTTTCGTCCTGAAAAGACCTTGTATTTTAACATAATCTCTTCTTGCCTCTATTTCCGATATGTCCTAATTTAAACACAAAAAGTCTTTCAATAATGAGGACATTTCTAAGTGGCCCCAAACTTTTGAACAGCACAGCTCACGTTCCAAATCTGTCACAACGTTTCCATCTCCCGTTCATGTTTAGTAGCGTTTTTTTATGGTGTAATTACCGTAGTACAGTGGACTTCCAATAAACGTTCTCTTTTCATTTTCCAGGCTTCATGCTTTTCCTCCGAGGCTTCATCAACTACGCCCGGATTCGCAAAATGGCAGATTCCCTCTCCACGCTGCCTCGCACTCGAGTCCTGTTCATCTACTGAAAAAGATCCGGACCATTTCTCTGCATCCCACAATTACTGGACAACAGTCTTTATTAAAAAAGGGGGGGGCAGCTTCTATATTTCTTGTCAAATCATTAAATATTCATAATCCATTTCGATGTAATATACTGACAAACGCGTTTCTAATTGTTCTATGTATGTGCAATCATGGAGTGAGTGTACAAATGTATGCCTTATTTTTTTGTGCAAAGCGGCAGCATGAGTTTTTCGCCACCAGAGGGCAGCATTGCACCACGTTAAAATCTTCTTAATTCGCTCTTCTCAATTCATCTGTATAGAAAGTTTATATATATTGATTTATGCAATGTAATGTATGTGAGATTTTAACTCCTTCGATCAAAGGCTTTTTATTTCTTATGTTGAACCGTATGGTTTTAGTTTGCGATATTAATCAGGTGTTTGGTCGGAAAAGGGATTTAGGCAGTAGGGGATTCTGAGCATTTTCCACTTGGCAACTGGTTAATTTATTGGAGAAAAAAAACACTGTAGTTTTGTTGCACATCAGGGTGAATCTGCTGTAACTGTCTAGAGTGGTGGTAAAGGTCTTGGTTTAATAAATGGTCTTAAAATCACGTTTTCTGTCACTCGGTGTTGCATTTGTTATATGTAGATGCCAATGGAACACAAATCCTGTAAGAGAGGATAATTGTTAGCAAATAAAAATGCTTTTTGCTCGCCTAATAATTGAGATTTTTTATCACACATTTTATATCATCCTCCAGCTTGATGTAGAGATTTAATAGATTTAAGAAATGACAACTTGTGGAATAAGTTTCTCATGTAGTGTTTACACATTTTCAGGGGAAACTCTCCTTGGCAAATGTCCCAGGACCCCAGTGTGAGAAGCAATGATTTAGACATGTTAAGATGTATTGGGGCCTGAAATGCAGTTTTTAATCAACCCTAATAGTGTTTTCTAAAGACTAGACTTGCCTCTAAAAACAGCCTGGTAAACATGTCAAAGCAAATTGTCATAATGTAATGTAATGTAAATCATATATAACATATATTATCACAGAAAACAAAAGTCCAGGACAACTTAAGGTATCTGAAATATTTGATGGGACAGCTTGGTTATTGTCATGCCATAATATATATTCGACTGGCTTAATTTGCAGGACAACATTTTTAGGTTTTATTTTTATATGTCCATACTCAAGTCTATGCAAGTCTATTCAAAGTTAGATGGCCAGTCAGTTTTGGTTACGGTAAAACCTATTCATTACCCTCGAGTCAAAATGACCCACCACAGATGCTTAAAAGTAGAAGAAAATACCCTAAATTGGTCTAAAAGGGTTAAAATGACAAGTTAGGGTTAGGGTTAGCAAACATCAAAATTCAGCTCAAAAAAATAAATATTATAGGGTATTTTTTATTCACAGTGGCAGGTCAACTTGACCCAAAGATGGGATTGTAAATCTCAGGTACAATATCATTTACATTATTTTATAAGCAATGATACTATGTAATAAAATCCATCTAACAAACTCCTATCTTCCATCACAGGTTTTCACATGTATGTTTTTTTAGCCTCTGTCACATCTTCAGTTCAGCTTTTTTCTGACAGAAGAGAGAAAAAGAGAGAACCAACGTCTCTAGTTAAAGTTAAATATTATCTAATATAAAAATGTTATGATCTAATTTGTTCACATCATTTTTCTAACTACAAACTTCTCTTAAACATAGATGATGCAAGCTTTAATTGATAATGAATAAAGTCTGTTTTTTTGTCTTGGATGAGAAACCTCCACGGTCATCTGTCCAAGAGTGTGATGTTTTTGTCCCTTCATATAGGCCTCGCGCAGGAGGCCTATAATCAGCAGCAGACAGCAGTAACTCGGCTCGTTTGTCGCCTCACGTGTGTCCAACAGCCCGGCGGTCGCTGGACTTCCTCAGTGCGGTTGGAAATCCTGAACACAACAGTCAAAAGTCTCCTACAAAACATGTTTATAGATCCATGTTTAAGGAGGCGCCCAAGGTCAAATGTGAGAGGACGCGTGGAATGTCTCTGAAAGAAATCAAAGGTGTTTACGACATCACTGAGACATGTTCCAAACAAACTCAAAGTGCATATCATTTAAAATATTTGGCAAGAAATTGTGTTTTTATTGTAATTCAGGGTGTGCCTATTTTCTCTTGCCTGTTTGTTTGAGAAACCTTTAGAGTACAAACAAATGGCTGGACTCTTTGTAATAATAATACTACTAAAGCAATTTTATTTTGAACCCTCAAGGTCACCTGACAGATAAAAACAATACATTATAATCACAAAAATACAATAAATAGCAATACATGACACACATTTGAGCAATAATGTGCAATGCAGAACCACATGTGTCAACTGCTAACATTTACATTAATTCAATGTAAATATTCTTGCTCCAGAAAGTATTATTGATGTAGCTTCATACTTTGAGGGTTAACTTAACTTCTGATGCAAAGTACAACTACGATTCCATGCATCTCTAAACGTAGAAACCGTTTTGGACCATTCTGACCAGTGTAATTACAGTCTCTCTTATCACACGATGTAAACTCCCAGACCAAGTGACCTGGTATCAGTCACAGCATCACAGAGAGCCTGAAGCTCCATGTTAAAGCTGACATCCTGTGTACAGTAAAACACAGTCTATATGGAGTTCAAAGCCATCTGGAGGAGAGTGTATTATAAAGGATGCAAATAAAACCAGAGATGTGACTGCAGCTGATAAAAGTGTACATTAGAGAAGGGAGTGTGGTTTCAAATGTCTTCACTAACAACATATTTTCTCAAAGGCTAGAGTGAATATGATGTGACAGCAAAGCAGTGTAAAGCTTTACGGTTTAACCCTATCTAGATCAGGCTTTTTTCGGCTTCCTGAACCCAGGGTCGTAACTGAAGAAAGGTATATCCTCTGACCACCAATTTTCCAGGAGACGATCTACTGTACATGCAAAACTGTATGTCATGATGTTACTATTTTCCTACAGAATTAGCTTATGCAATTCAATGTTACTGTTTCAGTACCCCAAGGCTATGCCATAGAGCGGCCCTCCTCCTGTGGACTCACCACCTGCAGGAGGATCAGTGAGGGGCTGGTGCTCTGTGTACTGGGTGGCATCTATGGCCACCCCCCGACTCAGAAATGGATGGATAGATGGATGGATGTTTCAGTGCCCTTTACGCTCAAATTGATTGCTGCTGCGAATGGCAACTTAGTCCTAGCAATATTTGTGAAGATGTTATACCACGTGGGAGTTAGCGCGGGCAGTTTTAGCCCCCCTTAGATAGGGTTAAACGGCTGTAGTGATCTTGATTTAATTGTAACTGGTTCTAAGTGTAAAAGAAACATTCATAAATGTTCACATGAATTAAAACAAAACATTTACTGATTTTTCCTCTGCATTTGACCCAGCCTTCAAACACGTTGGGGGAAATTGTGAAGACAGATTAGTCAGGTATGTTGGATGGCTGATGTGTAAAATATTTAGTGGAAAACTATTGGTTCCATCTGCAAAAAACATCAATGTCAATATTTCAACGTCGTCAATTCTATACATTTTGGGACAAAAAGAAGAATGCACAGTTGTATAAAACCAAAGCATGTCTCACTAGTCGCTAACTTGTGTTGTACTTGTTTTGAGAGAATTTACGGCTGTGCGGTCGATAACATCAAATTGGTTCTTGTCTAACAAAAATACTGGACTTGTGTATTCATAGTTCACTGTTGTGACAAATATGTGACCAAGCTCAGTATGATTTAAACATAATGTTTAACCACGGCTGTATATTGAAGACTTCTTGTTTGTTCCTCAGGTTATAGTGCTCCAGAAGACGGGACAATTCATGTATTTGGTAAAACATAAGTCTAGCTAAACCAATCTCTCTCAATCAATCAATCAATACATTTTTATCTATAGTGCCCTTTAAACACTCAAGGCGACCAAAGTGCTTTACAATAAAATCACATCCCTCACCATCCATTAAAACCTTCATGCAATCAAAAATTAAATGTTAAAAAGCTTTAAAAAAGTGCCGCCACGCTAAATAGTGTTAAAAGTGTTGAAAGCCAGTCTGAATAGATTGTTTTGAGCCTCGATATAAAAAGGCCAAAATCAGTAAGCTTTGGCATATCAGGAGGCAGATTGTTCCAGTGTCTGGGTCCAGCGACTGAGAAGGACCCAGACCCAGTGTTTGGACCTGGTCCTTGGTACTTCCAGGAGGAGTTTAGACCATGACCTCAATGATCTGAAACAGACTGGGAGCCAATGTAGCTTTGAGAAGACTTGTTTGTGTGTGAGCCATGGGGATCTCAGAAAAAGGTCCTGTACACTGCGTCCATCTTGTCTCTCACTTTGCGCATGTTTAAACTATCACAAGATGAGAAGAAGAGGAGGTTTTGATTTACACACAGACTGGAGAGCGGATGTGCCTTACTGCTCTGGTTGTTATTCGATGTTCTGCTCAACGTGATTTACTGTTGAGAAAAAAAAGTGTATTGTAAAAGACCAGGGGAACATATTTGTCAAAATGAAATCCTTCAGATGCTGTAGGCTAAGCATAAAATTACCAACAGCATCACCAAATAGCACTGTCAACAGCTGACATCACAAAACCAGACATTTTTGTATAATTTGGAACTAGATTTCATTTTAATTTTCTGTTTTTTTGTTTTACTTCTTGTTGTTGTAATGTTTCTCGTGTGACTGAATGTACCTGTGCTCCCATTTGTTGCTGGTTCATTGTCATGTTCCTGGTTCCCGTTTCTGTTTTGGATTTTTTCGTTTGACTTTCCCTAGCCTTTTATTTATCATCATTAAATCATATATATTTTTTGCATTCCTGCATTTGGGTTCTCCTTGTTATTCATCACATAACATGAAAAGACACAACCGGAACCTTTTTACAAGAATCTAAATAAAAATTATAAAAAAACAGAGAAAAAAATAAGATGGCTAAACTTTTCCCTGTGTAAAATAAATCTACGAGTAACAACAAA